CCATATTTACCAACCCCGGTATAAAGCCCCTTTGGATCCAAACACGAATCTTATCTGCATTGTGTTCTTATTGCGGCGGAATAATGATGTCGGCACATTACGGGCATGATGGGCGTGGCCCGACAGGAGTCATGAGAGTGTCTTTACCTTAGACTTTTGTATACAAATGTTCGATGGGATTTATTACTATTTACACACATTTTTATATATAAAAATGTAAAGAGCTGTAGTAGTTCGGTGGAAAAACGGTTGTTTCTAATTGAGAAGTCCAGCGTTCGAATAAAAAATATTTCACAATTTAGTAAAGATAATAAATAAATAAATATTAGACAACGTCACATACGTTGCTCTTATCCCAAAGTAACTAAAGTATTATGGAAATTGGAAACAACGATGTTCCCACAAACGCCCGGAAACGAGATATAAATGCTAGTTTTTCTACATTGACCCGATCGGGGATCGAACCTGGGACCTCAGAAATGGCTACATCATGAAAAGCGCAAGTCACTTTTTTTATAAAAAATAAGTGCGCATTTGACCTCCATCTCACCTGATGGAAAGTGATGATGAGGTCGACGATGTAGCATGCACACCTAAATAATGCCTATTCACTCTCGCCTTGAAAAGGTCCAAGTTATAGCGTTCGGGGAATAAGTCCACAGGTCCCTACCACTTTTCACGGTAACGACAAAGTCGACCACAGAGGTCCACAATTTTAATAAGTAACAATTGTAACATTATTGTTTTTTTGTTCTATTCTGTACATTTTTGATAGATTCAATTTGATACACATTTTTAATTAACTTGGTTTGCCACCCTGTAGCTGGCGGTCGTTTCTAGCTTGTAGGTGGTAGGCTACCACAATTGGTACTATCTACAATCACGTCTATCAATATCGATATTTTGATTTGAACCAAATGTATCAATACCTAACGCCTGTGTCTGGTCGGATGTACCTGCGGGACGCAAGGTTGTCGCAGACTCAATGTTGTTCTTGCAGGAACAAGACCAAGACCGGTTTTGAGCAACATCGAATGAAGGAAAATAATAATGTCCAGACAACCACATCAATTACCTGTCTCAAATTAGGGAATTTCCTGTATTGTGAGCACCAGAGTAACGGAATTTACAACGGGGCACTACCCAGAACACCCAAACCAGAATCAATTTAGAAAAGTCAATTTTTTTTCAACTCAAATTAGTCCTGCGGGGAATCAAACCTGGGACCTCCTCGTTCAGTGCCCGCAGCGCAAACCAATGAACCACCGAGGTCGACATTCGTGATATACAAAGAACCTGCACTTTAAAAAAAATTGACAACATTTAAAAAACATGTGAAGTTTCAAACCCCTATTCTGCTGGCCTGTCGTGCTAATGCCTGAAACCTTGTTTTAGAGGAGACCCGTACCCAACAACGGGAAGTCAAGTAGTTATAAGTTTTCCCCGACACAAAAACTGCCTCTAGTTTTGGCGCCTTGACTAATAAACAAATCATGAACAAAAGTAACCGAACAATAGGAATACTGAATGGAATAATGGACAATTCACATTGGCGTAACACCTATCTATCCACGATAAGCAAAAAGGCAGAAAAAAAACGATCCCATGGCCTGACTCAGTCAAAATATGACTACAAAAAAGTAAATATTTTGTCAAAACAATTGGAATTCTGAGAAACCCGGTTGATAAGCCGAGGTTTTTACTTAAAGTTATGGGAAGGGTTTTTCTTATCAATTTTACACCGGATGTAATTACTAATGAGCGTCCAAAATCCAAAACTGAACGCAGACATTAAAAGTATAACCTGTCATTGGAAATTATAATTAAGTCATTAAAATTTGTATAAGGACAAGAAGCGTATAATATCGACTCCCTACTTAAATGTCAAAGACTAATTTTAGAAGCGTTGAAGAGAATTGGAAATGTTACAGACTTTGGAGACATTTTTATCGATTGCCGACAGGTTTCTTGATCCAACGTAACGTATGTTTTAAATATTATATCTATTTAGTAGCAGTAGAGCTCCTCGAGAAAGAGTTTGTTCCTTTTCTACCGCCAAGCGATATGATTGTAATCAATTTTGATGTTAAGATTTTATAGTTTTAAATTTTAATTTACTATTTGAAAATCATATTTTTCAATGTATTATTTATTTTTAGATGTTAGGAAAATTCACGGCTAATTGTACAATTATAGAAGTTATATTTAAATACGAGTAATCGAATGCCATTTATATATTAACTGCCTCCGTAGCCGAATGGTTACCATGACGACTGCGACTCAGAGGTCCCGGGTTCGATTCCCGTGCCGGGAGAAATATTTGTATGCCTACATTTATTTCTCTCGTGAGTTTGAGTGTAATTTGTTGTTGGCTATGTGTGTGTCCGTGGTACCCGCGATACAAGGCTACCCTAGTGCGGGGCGATGAGTGTCTGCGCGTTATAATTATAATTATTTACGAGTTTACTTTATTATTAATATACTAATGGCTGCATTCCGATTTTGACGGGTAAGGGTTCTGGTGACATAACAGGCAGACAGACAGGCGCAGTGGCAGTGTCACGTAGATCTTTGCCGTATAATTTCTAAGTGGCACAGCGGCTATTATGGGTAGGTGTATCGCTTAGTACCAGGCGCACGACCTGTTCGTCCCATCTCTTGTTACTCTATTTATCGTTGTATTAATATGGTAAAGCGTCATAGAATTAGAATACTGATACTAACTTTAATGACCTAAGTAGCCTTGAGTGTGTTTTGCATGATACATTTTGTTATAATATCAAGTGACGGAACGAACCAGTCGTGTGTCTGTTATATCCCTGTCCATAACAGTTGCATTGCCACTCAGAGCATTAAATCGCAAAGATCTGAGATCTGCCGCCAGTCACCCTGAGACATACGTTGACAAGTTTCATGTGTCTGTAATGTCATCAGCACCCTTACCCTTCAAAAACGCAACGCAGTAATGCTCACATTACTGCTTGTCGGAAGAAGTAGGTAAGGTGGCAGTATTTCCCTGGACGAACTCTTTCACAAGGAGCTCTACTGCTACTAATCATCACTGCTGCTGCTACATGGGAGTGGTCTATTTAGCTCTGTAGCTTTGTAGCATTTTATAATATTTTTGTATAAGTATTATAATATTACAATGACAAAATGTAAACCATTATCTTTTATAAAGAGAAGCTTGAGTTTTGGACACGTTTTTATTAAAGTAATCCTGTATAAATGAGACGAGTTTGATTATTTTAATAATTTCAAGTTTGTTTACCTATGAATATGATAACGAAATACGTGTTTTTTTTGCGTGAAGGACTTAATTTTTTGATATGGCATATGCTCAACAGTAGAAGACTAATGTAAATCACAACTGTAACGCTTACAATAACTTAATTGACTTGTCTTTTAGAAGAAACTTTCACTAAGAAATTGTTACATTCATGTTGTTAAAACAAAACGATAACTCGTCCATCATCTTCATCGTTCATTCATGAAAACCTAAGACGAATTTCGATTGCGGTCGACCGCCCGCATTTGCGGTCCAGAGATGTCCCGTTTTTGTTCATGCAATATTACTGGGACATAGTGTCAAGAACTTAAACTGTCATTATGATAATCTAAATTTGAAAGTTATTTATCTCCTAAATTCTGATATAGAGTAAATTAAACGGAATTGTTTATAGTTTCTTAATTTATGTACAGAATATTCTAGTACTTAGAAACAAAACGTCGAGTATTTGTTCTACATATTAGTGCTGGTTTTTTCACGATGTTTTCCTTCACCGAAAAGATGGTAAATTTCAAATTAAATTCACATAAATCCCGAAAACTCAGAGGTCTGAGCCCGAATGCGAAGTCTCGGGTTCTGCTTGAAAGGGCGCTTGGTTACACTATTAGGCTACCATGACTTGCAAATGATTGTTAAGGATTTTTATTGCAATTATCGTAATGTTCTCCGTGCAGACAACTTTCTGGGTACCACCACCTTACCTAATTTTACCGTAAAGCAGCACCGCTGTGTCCCGGATTGAAAAGTAGGGAGAGCAAGCGCAATCACAGACACAAGAGATTTATGATCTTGTATCTCTTGGTAGGCAATTATATTTCTTCGCGATATCAAAGATATATTCTTAGTGTCGCAAATGTTTTAGATGGCTGTAATCCGGTAAACTGTGCCCGATTTATTTATAGTAAAAACGGCTACGAAGAATCCAAACGAATTGCCCTAATTTCATCGCATTTCGAAAATAGAATTTCCATAACCGTCGAATTCACGACCTTTTAACACTTATAGGGAAAGCAGCCAAAATCTCTCACTTGACAGTGTGGTATCTAAACCACTGCGCCCACTAAGCCGAAGATGCGGTAAAAGGAATCCTCCAACATCGGGTAAATAAATTGCTAAGCGACAAGCCTTGTACATATAGCGCAACGAAACACGACTTTTCCATTTTTCTCCCGCTGCGCCCAGACACAGTTTTTGACGGGAAAACATTAGGAAACAATAAAGCATTCGAGTGAAATTCGAAACGTTCGCGTAAAGTCCGGTGTTATGAGCGGCAGTGAAGTTTTCAAGGTTCTTTTTATAACTTCGTTTGAGAACGCGTACACGTGATTTATGTAAACGAAATGTGTATAAATTTTTTATTCATGTTAATATTTCTACTGAATGTTCTTTTTTGGAAACATGTTTTTTGTACATTAATTAGCTTATACAAGTGTTTCTACATACAATTGGGTACATTATTTCCGTTTTCTTTACATTAAACTGTTAAAAATGTTCCATGTTTCTATATTATAAATTAATGTTGTGAGTAAAAATAAAATCAGGGAAATACCATTATTGTTTGCGCTACTCGACGGTAGATGTCTCTGTGCGGTCGAAATGCAGCGAGCGAGAGCTTACGCGGGGCGGAGGGGCACGGGGTGTTAAGTTGCGCGTCCCCACTGCCACTTCCACGAGTCAAACGCTCTGCTTGACAGTCGCAACGCAACCGCGCCGCGGAGAGTTCGTGCTACACCACGCGCCGGTCTCCACTACACGCACTAAATATTTATAACACAACCGATCTCTAACTATAAACACTAGTTAATGAGTGAAACAACAGTCAACATACTTCGCCAAGGACTTTATCAACCCCAAACATTACGGACTACAGTGCAGTGAAATGATAGCAAGTTTTTCTTCAGCGCTCAAGTGTATTACGTACTTTGTTTCGGAAATGGTGATATCGACCCAAGGGGAGTGTTTATGAGACGTTTTGTAGTGAAATGAAAGATCTGTGATAATGTATGCTATAGCGGCTGTGTTTTGTGCGCTGCTGCACGTCGGCTGGACGGTGCTTCCCTACGGCTCGGACAAATGCGTTCGGATCTCAGAGTCCGAGGGCATGCTCTGCAGGATCCGCACGCTCGATGGTGATGGTGGTAGTATCGCTTCTGTGACATCCGATACTAGCCGCCTCGCTGTCGAGTGCAACCATCTACTGCTGTTCGAAAGCTCACTGCGGCCTCACTACTTCAGCTCCATGCCGAGCCTCACGGATTTATCAATAAGCAATTGCAAATTGCTCAATGTGCCAGACTACTCCTTTCAAGACTTGAGTAAACTGAGAAGGCTGAAACTTCGTTCCAAGAACTTTGAGTGGAGTCCTACTAAGAATTTAGAGTTATCTCTGAGCTCTTTCAATGGATTGTCGGAACTACAGTCCTTGGATCTCGCCCAAAATAACATCAAGTTTGTTCCTTCCGGTGTGTTTTGTTCCCTAGACAACTTAAATACGCTTAACTTAACGCACAATAGAATAAGAACTATTGGTCAACTGGGATTTGGCCAAGGATGTGGTTTGAGTTTGCTCAGCTTAGATCTCAGTCACAACGAGATAAAAACCCTTCCAGAGGAATCGGAACTACTTAAATTAAGGAGTCTGCAACACCTATATCTGCAACACAACAATATCAGTGACATATCAAGTGAAGCTCTTAACGGACTTGTCTCCTTGCGTGTCTTGAACATATCATATAACCGTCTACATACATTGCCTGAAGGACTTTTCGCCAACGCTAGAGAGTTAAGAGAAATATATTTAAACGACAACACAATATTTGAGTTATCTCGAACGATATTTCATCGTTTGGAACAGTTGATCGTTTTAGATTTGTCAAGCAATCAAATTACTAGCAATCATATCGACGACGGAACATTTTTGGGACTTATTCGACTGATTGTGTTGAACTTATCAAATAATGCCTTAACTAGAATCGACGGAAAGACATTCAAAGACCTATTTTTCCTTCAAATACTGAACTTGAAGAACAATTCAATTGGTTATATCGAAGAGAACGCTTTCCTACCGTTGTACAATCTTCATACATTGAATTTAGCGGAGAACCGACTTCATACTATAGACGAAAATTTATTCAACGGCTTATTTGTATTGAGCAAGTTAACTCTCAATAACAATTTGCTTGTGAATATTGACCGAAAAGCATTTAAAAATTGCTCCGATTTGAAAGAATTAGACTTAAGTTCTAATCAGTTGTTGGAAGTGCCGGAAGCATTATGGGAGCTTTCTTTTCTGAAGACACTTGATATTGGTGAAAATCAAATTTCCGACTTCAAAAACGGATCCTTCAAAAACCTAAACCAATTAACAGGCTTGAGACTGATTGACAACCAAATTGGAAATCTCAGCGTCGGCATGTTTTGGGACTTACCGAACTTACAAGTGCTCAATATCGCTAAGAATAAGATTCAGTCGATTGAACGAGGAACTTTCATCAGAAATAATCAACTGGAAGCCATACGACTCGACGGAAATTTTTTGACCGATATCAACGGTGTTTTCTCCACGTTGGCAAGTCTCTTGTGGCTTAACCTATCAGAAAATCATCTAGTGTGGTTCGATTATGCGTTTGTGCCTAGTAATTTAAAGTGGTTGGACATTCATGGCAATTTCATTGAACATTTAGGTAACTATTACAAGTTACAAGATGAAATTCATATAAAGACATTAGACGTTAGTCACAATCGTATAGTGGAAATATCGTCTATGGCGATTCCAAATAGTGTTGAACTGTTATTTATAAACAATAATTATTTAAACAATATCCATGTAAATACGTTTTTCGACAAAAAGAACTTGACGCGTGTGGACATGTATGCGAATGAATTAGTGCATTTAGATTTGAATAGTTTACGTTTATCAACGGTGCCGGTGAACAAAAGTTTACCTGAGTTCTATATTGGTGGGAATCCGTTCCAATGTGACTGTACTATGGAGTGGTTGCCGATAATAAATAATATGACCGCCATGCATCAATATCCGCGAGTGATGGATTTAGAAAATGTTCTGTGTAAAATGACAAACACCCGCAGCGGAACTCATGTGCCCTTAACTAACCTAAAGACAACGGACTTTCTATGTGAGTATGAAACTCATTGTTTTGCTATCTGTCATTGCTGTGACTACGACGCGTGTGACTGTGAAATGACCTGTCCTCAAAACTGTACCTGTTACCACGACCCATTGTGGAATACGAACGTTGTCGATTGTTCCGGACAATCGTCTATGGAGATACCGCATAAAATTCCAATGGATGCCACTGAGGTGTTTTTGGATGGAAATAACATACGGGAATTACAAAATCACGTTTTCATCGGCAGACAGAAGATGAGATCTTTGTATGTAAATAACAGCAACGTTGATAGCATACAAAATAGAACTTTTGCCGGTTTAACTGCTTTGCAAATCCTTCACTTGGGAAGCAACAAACTTAAAGAACTAAAAGGATACGAATTCCATCAATTAAGTAACTTAAAAGAATTGTTTTTACAAAACAATCTTATCAGTAACATAGCTAACATAACTTTCCTTTCATTAAAATCCTTGGAAACTTTACGCCTAGATGGCAATAGACTGGTTGATTTTGGCGTGTGGAGTTTTAATAATAACCCTAACTTGAAAGCTTTGTCACTCGGAAACAACTTGTGGTCATGTAAATGCCGCTACCTGCAGGAACTAACTGCATTTTTGGCCGAAAATGCGCAAAAAATAATTGACATAACCGATGTATGGTGTTGGAATGGCGATGCAAAACCTCCGCAGAAAAAAGAGCTAAATTTAAATGGCACTGCCTGCAGCGATTATTATGCAGATAATTCAGTCATTGGAAACATGTTGGTGTCGAACTATGTTCCCATGATGGTCTCCACTCTCACAGGTTTTATGTTAATTTTATTGGCTCTTGTCGTATTATTTCTTTTTAGAGACTCGCTCAGAGTATGGCTTTACACAAACTGTGGAATACGTGTATTCACATTTGCCGGCGCCTTTGAAGAAAGTGAGAAATTGTATGACGCTTACGTTTGCTATAGCCCGAAAGATGAGGAATTTGTTGTGCAGTCGTTAGCCGGTGAATTAGAAAATGGCAATCCTTCTTATCACCTTTGCCTCCATTATAGAGACATTCCACACCATGGCGCTGAGTATATGCAATGTGCGCCGCCAGTCGTCGAAGCGGCAGAAGCATCGAAACGAATAATAATCGTGCTAACGAGAAATTTTATGCAAACCGAATGGTCTCGATACGAATTCCGACAGGGGTTGCACGAAGCGCTCAAAGGATGTATTTATAAGTTAGTTCTAATAGAGGAATGTTCAGTGATAGCGGACGCGATGTGCGATCCGGATTTGCGGCCATATCTAAAGACTGGGTCGCGACTGAGATGGGGCCAGAAAAGATTTTGGGAACGTCTCAGATATATGATGCCGGATTCGTCGCACCCGAATCATAAGACAAGAAGTCATAACTATAGGAAGAATATAAACACCTATACGTTAGATTCCTCCGTACCTAATGGGGGAAATCGAACATTGCCTTTTCCTGATAAATCGCCAGTGATGGGTGATAGGCAGGGAGCCAGTGCTCCTCCAGAATATAGTAGTGAGGTGCGACAGTCGCCATCAGTGGTGAGACAGACGCAGGGAGTTGTTTACGGGCCGGACGGCAGGCCGATCTCAGATCATATCTATTCCTCTATAGACTCTGATTACTCGTCGTTAGAGCATGGTATGGCTCCGGGCCGGAGGCGAGATATGCGCCAGTGGCCACCACCGCCACCACTTGTCGATACAGGCAATGCCGTACAAGCTTACCTAGTCTAGACGATCTATTGGATCTACTTCCAGTCACAATTGTAAATATTGTAGATTTTACCCCTAGCTCGCTGTAAATATTGTAATTATTATAATCTAAGTGCTATACCAAAACTATGTAAGTGAACTAATATTGCCTGTTCGTTATCCTGTGTATAGAGAAGTAATAAAATTTTAAAGACTGCTGTAGTATATGAGTATTGTAAATAGAAAACAAGTGATCATTACTATATTATTAACTGTAATATGGCGTTATTTATACACTATAAAAAATTAAATGATGATGAATTTACAAGTTTTGATTTTATTTACGATCTTAATACTCTAGTTGCTGCTAATAATTTCGTTACTATTGCAAATACTTGTCATAAGTAACACATTTGAATTTTGGTAATTTTCGAGATATTGGCAATTAAAGATTTTTTTCCTTGAAAAATGTCGATTGCGCTGATTTTGGTTAATAATAAAACTGGAACTAAATAAGACATAAAAAAACTAGAGAGTAAAGCTAGAGTTAGATATATTAATAACTCAATTTTGCTCAAAATGTCTATTACGCTAGTTATAATAGGCAGAAATGTTTTCTTTACTTATGATGCAAAGTTATCTATTTTTAATATTTTGGTTTACTTTTTTTAAAGGAAACGCAGTGATTACATGCGTATACTTTATTATTCAAAACATTTACGTTGAAACAGTATTTATGCATACTTCCAAATACAAAATGGATGATAGGAGTACTGTAAAATAGCAGTATATTAAAGGGATCTGAATGGTTTATCGAATGCATATAATAATTCACAGCAATCAATTTCATCCAAACGGTCACAGCGATTAAAATATTGTCAGGACTCACTTATGAAGTATCCTATGTGTTAGACTTAACATTGGAACTAAAAACTATGTGATAATATATCTTAAACTCAATAACATAGTGTAGGTTTTTTTAGTAGTATGATGACGTTTTAGACCATTCTGTCGTTCAATACGATTCTCCGTAGAATCTATATACATTATTATACGAGTAGGTAGCAAAGCTCATTCATTACATTAATGATATTGGAATATTGAAAGCATAATCTCAATAATGTACACAGAAGCGCCATTTTGTTTTATAAATCAATACATACGAGAATATACCTAAAAATAAAGCTGTAGAACAGAGTGTGAGGTATTTTAAGTACTTCTAATACATACATTTAAACTGAGTTTAAAAAATTTTCGTTATACTCAAAGATAGTACTATAAGATTACGTAAACACAAAAAGTCAAAATTGGAAAACATTACTCTTTTAAGCAACCAATTTGAAGATTTTTAAAGTTTTATTCTTATTTTATGACATTTATTGTAGATTTTCGTAATAATTATTTCATACAAATTAATTTTTCAAAGGTAATAAAGTAAAAGTAGGTACGTATTGAAAGATCTAAAAGATACGTGTGAAAGAATGAAAATAAAAGTACGCATAGAAAAACATCTCAAATATAAGTACGTTAGACGTACACTTATATTTGAGACTATGACTGTTTTAGAAAAGTAATAGAAATAATAGTATGCATTGAAAGGTTTAAAAGATACATTATACGTCTAAGTACAATCTCTACAATTATTTATTGTAATCGGGAATTTAGTTTGGCTCTTGGCCAATACAGGAACTTCCTTTATTCCGATGTCACGAATTTACTAATGCCTCTACAAGTACTTTTGTTTTACCGTAGTGAGAAAGGGTTATAGACAAATGGAGGATTCTATTTTGGCAGCAGAGTTCTATCTAATATTGTATAGAAAATTGTTTATGTGATATGGTTGTATTATTACTTATTTAATATTCGAGCATTTTTTAAACAAGAGGTTGTAATTAAACATAAAAATTATAACTAAAGATGACTTTTGGGTTGGGTAATTTGCGTTTTGAATGCAAAGCGGTACTTTCAGTATCTATCAGAAAAGTATGAGGAACACAAAACTATACAGAGTGTACCAAAAAAGTATATTTATATTGTAGGATATTAAAGTATCTTTGATATTGAATAATTTCGCAAAGAAATGAATTTTCTTTGTATTTTGTGTAACAGAAAAAAAATTCAAACTAATGTCGTTGTCATATATGTAGATATTCAGAATTCTTTAATTCAAACGCAAAGTAATAATCAACCCAACATATTAAATGGGTTAATGACTCGATCAGAGACGTATAGGGAGCACATAACTCTCGTAGATATTCTGTTAAAGGATATAATGATTAAGAATACACTGAAAATTAACAACACACATAAACAAAACAAAAACGAGAATCTAAAATTAAAACAGCACATCAGACACAAATTAAAAGGAATCTGTATCCTGGGATTACTTGACAAATAGCCATTGTGAACATTTTTGTCTGGGTGTCGACAACGATTAATACTCTGCCTCTCTTACAGGCCGGTTTTTGGAAGATGGATTTTTGAAGCAAGCAAGTATAAACCTGCTTGCCTTAAAAATATAGCCTGTAACGTTTATTGATAATACTAACAGAAATGTTACAGGCTATATACAGAGTCATTTGTAAAATGCTAATAACCTCGAAGCATGTTACTAATATCATAAACAACTGGAGTTCCATGACTTTTCCAAAACAATAAATTTACCGAAAGTAATTTTTTTTTGTTTTTAAATTGGAAAGTTTTTGGTTATAAATTGGATTCTATAAGGTTTCTCCAAATTACGATACCGAAAGATATCTTTCGGTCATTTTTATTTTTCATCGAATGAAAGTATGAAAATGGCATCTGTTTCAATACCCTATTCTAAACATGTACACATAATTGTCGTAATGCGTATGTAAACATTACTGAGCTTTTCGCATAGATTGTATATTGCAGCCCCATGGAATAATAGTGTAAGTCGAATTATATATAAAGGGTTAATTGTCAAATTGTTGTTAGTAACCTCGCAGGACTATATTACTAACATTACAAACAACAAGTTTTTTTCATAACTTTTTACAAGACATAATTAATTTATTCAAAATGAACCTTTAAGTTTTTGTTGTACGCTCTGACACTTTTTAGATCTTTATTTGGTAGTAAGATCAAACGTACAAATGTTCTTCCCGGCGACCCCCCCTATATTTACGCTAGCGCTTTCTTTTGTTACCTCACAGAGTTACCACCGTTTAGAGCATTCTATTGAAATATTTTTACTTTTGTGCGAAAGTAAAAGCTGTTGAATTATTAAAAATCATGGACCAAACGTTGTTGTTTATGATTTTACTAATTTACTCTGGCGAGGTTGTTAGTATGTTACAAACAACTCTGTATACAGGGTATCCAAAAAAGTGTACGAAATATTGTATACGGAAAGTGTTGTTGTCTTTGCAAAGAAAATTAGTAAGCGCGTGAGCAAGTAAGTAGTATTACTAGTTCATGCATATGTATTTTTTAAATTTTGTATGGAAAGTGAATTTTGTTATTTTGTATGGGAAAACTTTTAATACACTTTTGAATAAGTTGTGAATAAGTCGTATAATCTTTTTAAACACTCTGATTACGTAATCCGATATGTTATACATTGGTACAACGACTCACCCTAGCGTAAAAGGCCGACTGCTTCGGGACACCACCAGTCAAGAATTCCTTATTAGTTAAAGGTAAGCTCTTTTGTATTACTTGGAACTTATTATAAAAACAATTTGTTTTGTGATATTTAAATAAGGCTTGAAAGCATTTTTAAATATTTACCATTTAATTGAACATACCGTCCGTGTTTTGTAGAAAAATAGTGTTTTAGGTTTTAACGACTGTTTTCTATTTTGAAATTAATAACTAAATGTAATTAACGTACTGTTTTGTCATCGTTTCTTTAAATGTTAAAATAATGTATTTGTCAAATTCATGTCAATCATACTGACTTGTTTTCATAAGATTTTACGTTGGACATCACGATCTCTTTTGCCTCCGTATATTAGATGCATTTCGAGCACAGAACATCGACAACATATAAGTCATATCAATGGTATCGAGATCGGCCATGTTTTTTTTTCAAACCTATTTATATTTAAAAAAAAAATGCTATATCTATTGTAACATTTCTTTATCCTACGCAAACAAAGACCCCGATGTTTTTCTTATCTTAATTACGGAAATGCAAAATAAAGTGATTCAAAATGTAAAATAAACTTACCGAAACTACTATTTACTGTTAAATCGTAATCGTAGTAAAAAAGGTATCTGTAACACTGAATGAATAAAAAAATATTTTTTTATTATTGCTATAGAGTTACTTACTGCAGTGTTATTTAATATCGTTTTATTTTATTTCTAATTTCATTATAATTAATGAAACTTACATTGTTAAAATAACATATATTGTAAAACATAACATTATTTAGCGTTAACTAGATTGTTCTTTGGTAAATGAAAAAAATAAGGTATTTAAATTAATAACTATTGTAAGTGTAGTATAGAATAGGGTGGTTTGCATTAATATTAGACATAACTGGATGATGAATTTATTATTTCAGTCAACTGTGACCATGAGACCTGTAAATAGGCCCGAAACGTTGATTAATTTGAGAAAACAAATATGCGCAATTTAGTTTACAAAAAATATAGTTTGATTTCCAAGATATGAAGTTGTCCCAAAAATACCTGTACGTCATTTTGATTACTAAATTTATCCTGGAATTCACATTTATTAAAACCATAACTTACTTTGTATATACTTGGTTTATATAGCATTAGCAAGTGTCGGCGGTTTAAGTGTGCAATTATTCCAAAAGGTCCAATCTTTTTCGTTCTTATTTCAAGGGCTTAATAAAATAAATAACATAAAATAAAAATCATTTACCATCAGTGTCTAACTGGGTGACGAAGTACTTTCATAGAATTCTCATAGATGGCGCTACGGCTAAAAAGTTGTTAAAACTGTGATACAAAGATCCAACAACAAGCTCATAGAAAAATTCATGATGTCCGCTGGTTCGTTCTGTGACTTAATTGGCACAGCGTCTGGCACGGTTTGCTAGAAGACGTTGGTTCGAATCCGGCCGGATGGAAGGATTTTCCATTTTGTTACAATACTTACAAACTATCTATTCTACTGTTAGTACAAAAGTTACAGAATAAAAATAAAATGAATGAGTTATTTATTTAATTTATTTTATTGTTTTAGGAAAAATGTAGTAATGCACCGTTAAACCCTACTTGGGTTTGAATGAATAAAGCGTTTTCCGGTCGGCTCAAGTCGACTCCGCGTTTATAAATATGGTGACACCTTAGCCGTAGTTTCTGTTCATCCCATATA